TGTGACCAAAAAATATTGTATTTTTATTCATTTAATACCCCAATTTGGTTGTAAATTGCAGTTGTAATTATATATGTTTCACTTGTGAGTTGTCCCACATCGTTCATACATAGAAAATAGACTCACCTTATAAGTCTAATGGACTACTCCTCCTTCCACCAATTAGTTTTGGGATAGAACCCCATTTGGGCTTCATATGAGTTTTTCACGTTCATGGTGCGCTTCATGTTAGTGGGACCGCACCGCTTTCCCCTGTTTCTTACATAGTATCACAGCCAGTTCTATTGGGACCGTGCGATGACGTACCCGTTTATGAGAGTAGGGATGAGAGTCTACTTCTAGTATGCTTGGGGCACCCAGTTGGGCTTGGGCTTCTCGCATCCGTTTATAGGAGTCTGCTTGCGCTTCATGTTAGTGGGACCGCACCGCTTTCCCCTGTTTCTTACATAGTATCAGAGCCAGTTCTATTGGGACCGTGCGATGACGTACCCGTTTATGAGAGTAGGGATGAGAGTCTACTTCTAGTATGCTTGGGGCACCCAATTGGGCTTGGGCTTCTCGCATCCGTTTATAGGAGTCTGCTTCCCCACGTACCTATTTATGGGAGTCTGCTTCCCCACGTACCCATTTATGGGAGTCTACTTCTAGTAGGCTTGGGGCACCCAGTTGGGCTTGGGCTTCCGAAGGACTCACAAGTGAGGGGGCGTGTTAGAGTATCACTTGTACATGGAAAATAGATCCACCTTATAAGTCTAATGGGCTACTCCTCCTTCCACCAATTGATTTTGGGATGAAACTCCATTTGGGCTTCATATAGGTTTTTCCCGTTCATGGTGCGCTTCATGTTAACCGCATCGTTTTCCCCTGTTTCTTACAATATAATCATACTGTAACTTTGTTCAATGGTCCATGTTTGACTGGTAAATATTAATTAAACGATCTTCTTGATCATCAACAACACGTTTTGGCACAAAGACAAACTTATAAAACTGTATAGATTTGTAATAATTCGTGGTCACTTGTAAACCACTGATAAGTCTTTATAATAATCACTAGTTTTAATTATTTTGTTACTACTGTCAGTTATTGCATTTTTTATTTAATTTCATCATAATTATATGTATTAATTAAACCCAAAAAGGCTGATTTTGGAAGCAAACAGGCTGCCTACTCATATATCTTGCTGTACGTAAATTGTTATTATATGACAAGTTCAGTGTATGTAACGTCCTTTCTTGAATTAAACTAAATAATAATAATAATAATAATAATAATAATAATAATAATAATAATAATAATAATAGAGAATATTTTCATTTTAATTTAGTATAAATTAGACAAGATCCACGTGATTATTACGTGTAATAAATAACATTTCATGAAACATTTTGTGCTGGCTAATAATATGGTGGTATTTAGGCACAATTGCAAAAAATGTCCATAAGTTTTGAAATTGCACAATTCGCTCCCCATGGCATGTTATCTTCATTGGTTGACGTTTAGAAGATTTTGCTGATGTCATAAGAGAGTTGACCTTGAATTTCTAAATCAAGAATGCTTTTGCTATCCGCAAATGTCGAACTTCTATGCATTAATGTGTGTGGATATCAAAAGAAAAAAAAAAAGAAAAAAAAAGAATGAAAAATCATAAGAGTGTTGTAAATATTAAGTTGTGGACATTA